TCTGAAGATAAGTCTTTAATAGAAATTCTTCTGTTAGATTTAATTAATTCCTTTATTTTGAGCTTGTTTTCCTCGCAACGTAATGATCTTGGACGCCCAGTATGCTGATCATCGTTTACCTTTTCCCGACTTTCTTGGAAGTGTGAAAACCATTCAAAAGTTCTTGAATGGGATAAAGCCGCATCGCCAAAAGCTTCTTTAATCAATTCATACGTCTCAGTAACACTTTTTTCAATATAAAACAAAACTTAATGCAGATTCTCTGCTCTTCGAAAATGGCCATTTTAAAATTAGAAATGCGAACCTTACAAGGAAGTTGTTTTGTTCTATTTTTAGATCGGTGCGTGCGCCACGAGACTCGTGCTTTCAGTCAGGCGTGGTCGAATGTCCAATATTTAACTCAATAATTTTTTTTCTTTAGCTTTTTTTTAATTTTATTTTTTAACCAGTCCTGGAAATTAATGAACGCACCTTGTATAAACATACAGAAATTGCCAATTATGTTTTTATGATCAGGGATGAAAGGTGAAATTCACATATTTTTGTATTACATATTGTTTGACGATGTTACATATTTGTATATGCTGCAGTACTTTATAATTTGTTTCGGGAAATAAAATGTCATCTTTAAGCATCTAAAAGACTCATTTTGCTATGTGTTCAGAGAATTCATAAATTTATTACAATTTTGTATATAGAGGACTTAATCGAAAGCCTGTTAATGTACATTGCCGTGTGCAGAGAGAGTCTTGTTGCTGATAGAATTATATATTGTTGAGTAACTGAGACATGTTGGGTTTATAGAGATATGTACTGTTTAATACATTGAGACATGTTGATAGATTTATATCTTGTTGTGTGTACTGAGACTTGTTGTGTTAATAGAGTTATATCTTGTTGAGTGTACTGAGACATGTTGTGTTGATAGAGTTATATCTTGTTGAGTGTACTGAGACATGTTGTGTTGATAGAGTTATATCTTGTTGAGTGTACTGAGACATGTTGTGTTGATAGATTTATATCTTGTTCAGTGTACTGAGACATGTTGATAGATTTATATCTTGTTGAGTGTTCTGAGACATGTTGTGTTGATAGTTATATATTGTTGAGTGTACTGAGACATGTTGTGTTGATAGAGTTATATCTTGTTGAGTGTACTGAGACATGTTGTGTTGATAGAGTTATATCTTGTTGAGTGTACTGAGACATGTTGTGTTGATAGAGTTATATCTTGTTGAGTGTACTGAGACATGTTGTGTTGATAGAGTTATATCTTGTTGAGTGTATTGAGACATGTTGTGTTGATAGAGTTATATCTTGTTGAGTGTACTGAGACATCTTGTGTTGATAGAGTTATATCTTGTTGAGTGTACTGAGACATGTTGTGTTGATAGAGTTATATCTTGTTGAGTGTATTGAGACATGTTGTGTTGATAGAGTTATATCTTGTTGAGTGTACTGAGACATGTTGCGTTGATAGAGTTATATATTGTTGAGTGTACTGAGACATGTTGCGTTGATAGAGTTATATCTTGTTGAGTGTACTGAGACATGCTGATGTGCAGAGAGAAAACGACTACAACTTTTATCAGAGGAGAGGATTGAAGACATTGTCGCCACTTTTGATTTTATAGCTCAAAGAGAAACCATTGATTACTTGAATGACCATGGGCGGATAGTCTTTTGTGTCAGAGGGTTTCCTGGTTCTGGTAAGGAATCTCTGAGAGAATTACTGGAACAAACATATCCTACTGCCAAGATCTTTTGTGCTAAATTATGTCCCTTTGATAAAGACCAAAGTAATCGTGGAAAAAGTCATTCTTGGTGCAAAGATTTGTAAGTATGTCATTTTAAAATTAATTTTATCATCAAGTCCTTACATGAATGAAAAAAATTTTTTTTTTGTGTAGATTGATTGAAGCACTCAAAATGGGCCATTCTCCGCTAATTCTGGTTAACTCTTTCATCAAGGAATTTGAATTGGAACAATATCTCAGTGAACTTCGAAATTTTGCTTGTACCATCATAATGATGGACACTAGCAATTTTTTTGAATTTGGTATCAAGGTGAGTGATCCACAGGTTTGTTTTTTTTACCATTTTACAAACAATTTTGATAAGTTCATTTGTGTATGTGGTTTTATATTTATTTTTACATAAACAATAAACAGTAAAACCTCCTCTATTTCAAGAATTGGGGAACACAGCATGAAAAGGGTCAATTTTTTCTCATTCTTTTAAATTCTTTGCAAAAAATGGAGTTGCAACTTGACTCTGAAATCTCGACCCATATGACAAATGATAACTCATGTCTAGAAGAAGTCATAGAATGCAATCAACCTAAATTATTAGCAGAAACTCGTCACTCAATAGAAGCAACCCAACAAGGCAACATTAAAATAGTTTCAAATGAGACCTCTCATGTTGAATTTCAAGATGTACAAGAGAAATACATTGGAGAGCTATCAAGCGAATATTGAGATATCTGCAAAACACGATAAAAATAAAATTCAGTGAAGGATCGGAACAATTTACTGCAATATCAGATTCCGGTTGGTGCACTACTAAAGATGCCGAATCATTTGGAGGACAATTTTTAAAATTGGCAACAATGTAATCAATTGGAAATGGAACAAACAAAGAATAGTTGCAATGTCTACAAAGGAGGCTTAGTTATTAGCTTTTTGTGAAGGAATTTGTGATGTTAATGGTTTGATAATCTTCTGAATGATCTTGGATACAAAACTCAAAAGCCAATTCAAGTATATACAGATAGCCAATCCCTGATAGCATGGATGAAAAACCCAATACAAGGATTGAAAAGTCGACATTTTAATAGAAAATTGTATTTTGTGAGAGAAGAATTCCATTCAAGAACAGTAACACCCGTCTATAAACCATCCGAAATCATAGAAGCAGATATATTGACCAAAGGAATCTCCATCCCCAGACATGAACATCACATAAAGGAAATATTCGAAGTACAGAACAACTTGAAGAATACCGGTAACGGCTTCTCTACAGATTGTGAAAATATTAATATTCAAATATATATTTCTCTGAATAGTTTTTGTTTAATTAAATTCAGCAACATTGTAATTGCTATATTTAGAACTCTCGTTTCATTTTTGTAGAGGTAATTTTGCAAAGGTAGTGAGAGTTTGCTGCTATTTGGTATGCAATGTTTTTGTTTTAAATTTCTATTAATGTAAAATAGGTTAATATGTATAAATTTTCCATTCTGTTATAAAATCAAATGTTAATCTAAGATGTCTTGATTTTGAACATAGTCAAGTAAGAATATACCCTAACAGATAAATCCATCTACAGAAGGATATTTTGATACTAGATAAATATTTAAAATACCATCAATCCACAATGTGTGCATAGTTTTCAGTGAATATCCCCCTTCTCACAGACTATATCGAATCTTAAACAATCAAATATGATTTGGGTCAACTTTCAATAAATGATCAAAAAGCTTTTCAACCACACATGCTCCAAGTATAATAAGATCCTTTTAAGTTCAAATATTGATGAATTATATATTGAAACAAATGAAACATATCAAAGCTTTTTCCTGTTTGGGATTCCATATTTTTTCCGTTCAAACTTTTAAAATATACATTTCAAAACAAACCATGGAAATTTGTGATATTTGGCAACTATTAAGCTGTTGAGGCCTTGAGCTGTTACTGTGGCAAGACGACCCAAGACTCAAGACACCTACTGTTGGAATGCCCACTCTTATTTAGTGCTAGACAACAGACAGTTAATAATGTTGAGGATTTATGTGAATTTGTATATAGCAGAGAGAATTATCAGAGAGATTTAATCACTTTTGTAAATATATTTATAACTATTCGTACCCGACTTAAAATGATCAGGTTTCTTATCTATATCATTGTTTCCTTTTTTCTTTTCTTGTTGGTGATCAATAACTGTTTCTGTTTAAAAATTATAAATTGGCGCAATTACCCTGTTGGGGATATCACGTTTTGTGCGTTGAAATAAATAAATAAATTGATGAACATCTAGCTCACTTTAATTCAACCTAAAGCCTGATTCCCTTGAATTAACGAGGCTAGACTGTATGTGTGTGTACATGTATTGGTTCAAGCCAACTGTGGTTGCAGGACCTGGTTAAAACAACCCATCAGAAACTGGATGAGGAATATTTCTCAAAAAGACTCTCCAAGTGGTGCGACTATGTCCCATGGTACACAGGCTGGTTTCTGAACCCCGCTGATTCAGATGAACTCTTCCAATATGCCATCAAAGTGCTCGACCCGATTTCTTATGCCTTGGAGACAGAATTGAATTTGGATTTATTTGGTAAATATATTTTGAGAGTTGTTGCATTTCATCAACCCCGCAAATAAGTTTATTAATATCATTTTCTTTTTCAAAAACCATTTTGTTTTGAAGTGTTTGTCCCCCCCAATAAAAAGCTATATTAACTGCCCTTTTATCTTCTTCCTGACATATGGGGGACTCCATGTTACCCTTTTTTTCACTGATGTGGAAGAAAAAAAAATTCACCAAAATATCAGGAAGAAATTAAAAGAATAGCATTCTTTTGAAGATAATCTGTTGGTTGGAAGTTTGTTTGGAAAAATACTTGTATATGTGTACATTAACCAATTTTCCTGACATTTCAGTGATTCTCTGTCACACACATAGCAGTTACTATAGCTCTATTCATTGGATCATTATTTCTTGTTATATTGTCTAATAATTAAAAAATTAATAGCCCTGTATGGTGATTTGTTAGCAGACTGGATGTTATTATATATCTAACCAAAAAAAGATATTAATACAGCTACTTGAATATCCTTTATAGTTATATGTAAATCGACACTTGAAGTCACACCGCATGAGTTTCTTTTCCACGAAAAATCAAAATTTATTTCAAGGTGAAATATTGACTATTTCTAACCATTTTGGATGAGGTATGAAAGGGTGAATTATGAAGAGAAATGATGAACGGAAAAATAAAATTTCCAGGGATGGGAATCGAACCCACAATGTTCCGCTTACCGGGCAGATGCCATGTCCACTAGTGGCATCTGCCTGGTAAGCGGAACATTGTGGGTTCGATTCCCATCCCTGGACACTTTTATTTTTCCGTTCCTCATTTCTCTTCATAATTCACCCTTTCATACCTCATCCAAAATGGTTAGAAATAGTCAAAATTTCACCTTGAAATAAATTTGGATTTTTCGTGGAAAAGAAACTCATGCGGTGTGACTTCAAGTGTCGTTTTACAATAACAGGCTGCAGTGCATTATATTGTATTAATAGTTATATGTTGGAATTTAATCTTGTGAGACTACTTGATTACATCATTCATATAAGGTCAAAAAAAATACAAATAAACAAATTAATTTATATAAATAAGAAGATACTCTTCCCTCATCAAGTTGTTCTTTTAGTAAATATAATTATATATTAATAATAATAAAGGCATATTATGACCAAAAGTGCTTTTGGTCAGAATATGCCTTTATTATTTTTAATATCAACACCTGACCTTTTTATTTTTTTCTATTGTATTCTCAGGTGTTAAGCGTATTTACCCATGTTTGGCCTTAAATACCCATTTCTTGGTTTTTCAAGAAGCCTCTGGGACCAAAAATATTTTTGGTCTAGGTGGCACAGCCTGCTCCACACTGATGAGCACCAACAGTGCAAAACACGTTCGTGGGTGGCTTTTTTTGATTTATCAAAAAATTGGGTTGGCCAAATATCACAGAGCAAGTTAAATAAACATTTTGTTTATTTTTTCTCCACTTGATGGCGCTCTGCCATCTAAAAAGTACATGTGCTTTTGATCAGAATATGCCATTATATTTTTAATATCAACACCTGACCTTTTTATTTTTATTTTTTTCTCATAATTATATATCTATAAAGATGAAGGTCGCCTCTCTCCCGTAAAAACAGACGTCAAAACTAGACGACATCTATTGATGAGTATAGAGAGTATTGAAGAACGCTATTCCCTGTCAAATAAAGGTTGTGTGGTTCAAGATGTTCTTGAAGAGCACTATTCCCAGTTAAATAAGTTGTGTGGTTCTAGAAGATCTATAGAGCACTGTTTCCAGTCAAATTGGGAGTTGTGTGGTTTTAGAAGATCTATAGAGTACTGTTCCCAGTCATATTAGGAATTGTGTGGTTTTCGAAGATCTATAGAGCACTGTTCCCAGTTAAATAAGGAGTTGTGTGGTTTTAGAAGATCTATAGAGCACTGTTCCCAGTCAAATTAGGAGTTGTGTGGTTTTATAAGATCTATAGAGCACTGTTCCCAGTCAAATTAGGAGTTGTGTGGTTTTAGAAGATCTATAGAGCACTGTTCCCAGTAAAATTAGGAGTTGTGTGGTTTTAGAAGATCTATAGAGCACTGTTCCCAGTAAAATTAGGAGTTGTGTAGTTTTAGAAGATCTATAGAGCACTGTTCCCAGTCAAATAAGGAATTATGTGGTTTTAGAAGATCTATAGAGCACTGTTCCCAGTCAAATAAGGAATTGTGTGGTTTTAGAAGATCTATAGAGTACTGTTTCCAGTCAAATAAGGAATTGTGAGGTTTTAGAAGATCTATAGAGCACTGTTCCCAGTCAAATTAGGAGTTGTGTGGTTTTAGAAGATCTATAGAGCACTGTTCCCAGTAATATTAGGAGTTGTGTGGTTTTAGAAGATCTATAGAGCACTGTTCCCAGTAAAATTAGGAGTTGTGTGGTTTTAGAAGATCTATAGAGCACTGTTCCCAGTCAAATAAGGAATTGTGTGGTTTTAGAAGATCTATAGAGCACTGTTCCCAGTCAAATAAGGAATTGTGAGGTTTTAGAAAATCTATAGAGCACTCTTCCCAATCAAATTAGGAGTTGGGTGGTTTTAGAAGATCTATAGAGCACTGTTCCCAGTCAAATTAGGAGTTGTGTGGTTTTAGAAGATCTATAGAACACTGTTCCCAGTCAAATTAGGAGTTGTGTGGTTTTAGAAGATCTATAGAACACTGTTCCCAGTCAAATAAGGAGTTGTGTGGTTTAGAAGATCTATTGAGCACTGTTCCCAGTCAAATTAGGAGTTGTGTGGTTTTAGATCTATAGAGCACTGTTCCCAGTCAAATAAGGAATTGTGTGGTTTTAGAAGATCTATAGAGCACTGTTCCCAGTCAAATTAGGAGTTGTGTGGTTTTAGAAGATCTATAGAGCACTGTTCTCAGTCAAATTAGGAGTTGTGTGGTTTTAGAAGATCTATAGAACACTGTTCCCAGTCAAATTAGGAGTTGTGTGGTTTTAGAAGATCTATAGAGCACTGTTCCCAGTCAAATTAGGAGTTGTGTGGTTTTAGAAGATCTATAGAGCACTGTTCCCAGTAATATTAGGAGTTGTGTGGTTTTAGAAGATCTATAGAGCACTGTTCCCAGTAAAATTAGGAGTTGTGTGGTTTTAGAAGATCTTTAGAGCACTGTTCCCAGTCAAATTAGGAGTTGTGTGGTTTTAGAAGATCTATAGGGCACTGTTCCCAGTCAAATAAGGAGTTGTGTGGTTTTAGAAGATCTATAGAACACTGTTCCCAGTCAAATTAGGAGTTGTGTGGTTTTAGAAGATCTATAGGGCACTGTTCCCAGTCAAATAAGGAATTGTGTGGTTTTAGAAAGTATTTAAGAGTTCTATTCACAGTCAAATAAGAAGTTGTGTGATTATAGATTTCCTTGAAGAGCACTATTCCCAGGTAAAAGAGATCTTCTGCCTCGCTACCTTTTGCAATGCAGGATTTGCACCAGGAAGCTTGGAATATTACCTGAGTAATAATGTAAGTAATCATTACATTGTTTTTACAAACAAATGAAAAAAGTGCCAATGCCGGATTTGATCCCTGGTCCCGCCTATTGAAACTCAACAGTTTATTCCACTTATCTACCGGCACACTAAATGTTACTATATACTTTAACATACGAGGGCCATCCAATAAATCAGTTTCCCTTTTTTTTTTCTGCGAACGAAACGTTGTACAAATTATTTAGTAGTAGTGTAAGAAATGGTCACTTGGATGCGTTGGAAGCGCGTGACCTTCAAAATCACGCACTCGTACGCGCAAGTGTAAGAGAATCAGAGGCTGGATCTCAGAAAAGATTGTTTAATTATCAATTATATTATATTAAGATGACAAGTAAAAAAGAGAGTCAAACAAAAGCAAGCATAAAGGGAAGAGAACAAAGGCAAAACTGAAGCCTATATACAGGTACAGCCGGCGTGGCGTCAGGTCACGTGATGTCTGGGGGAAGTGGCCGTTGCTATGGTAACAGCCGACGTGCGAGTTACTCCTCCAACACTCCCACCAACGAGCACTTTGTTGTTTCAAACAGTCCAAGTTGGCTTCTTAGTCTTCTATACTTTTCTGGAGGTAAAGCTTTCGTAAATATGTCTGCAGCTTGATCATTGGAGCAGACATAAAGTAGGTCAATTGCATGTTTTTGAAAATGATCTCTGATAAAGTGATACGAAATATCAATATGTTTAGTTCTTTTGTGGTATTCTGGGTTGTGAACGAGTCTTATGCAGCTTTGATTGTCGCAAAAAATAGTTGTAGGCTTTACTTGTTCTTGATGTAGCTCGCGTAGAAGTTGTCTCAGCCAAATTGCTTCTTTTGTTGCTTTGGAAGCCACAATATATTCAGATTCTGTTGTTGACAGAGACACACAATTCTGTTTTTGACTGCACCAAGAAATAGGTCCATTATTCAACATGAACACATATCCGGTGGTTGATTTTCTTGTGTCTAGGTCTCCAGCAAAATCAGCATCGGAAAAACCTATCAGAGATGTAGTGCAGGAACTCCCACCAAAACAAATACCGATGTTTTTCGTAGCTTTTAAGTATCCAAATATTTTCTTTACTGCGGTCCAATGTGAAGGTCCTGGGTTGTTCATAAATTGGCTAACCCTGCTTACTGCGTAGGCAATATCAGGTCTAGTTCCAGTCATGAGGTACATTAAACTACCAATTGTCTGTCTGTATGGAATCTTGTTCATTTCTTCAATTTCCTGATTATCCTTTGGGCACATCTCTTTTGTTAGTTTTGAGTAAGGATCCGAAGGTACAGATTTTACATCTAATTGAATCATTTCCATATCAAGTGAGGCACAAAGTGATAAGATTGTTCTAATTGAATCGAATTTTACTACTGGAGAAAAAGTTTCACCATAATCAAGTCCTGATTTTTGTGAATAACCTTTCGCAACTAGTCTAGCCTTAAACATTTTATTTGATCCATCTGCATTTTGCTTTATTTTGTATACCCACTTGCATGCAATAGCTTTTCTGTCTGATGGTAGTGTCACATAAGTCCATGTTTGATTTTTCACCAAGGAATTGAGTTCATCGTCCATAGCTAGTTTCCACTTTTTTGAGTTTTGTCCTACAATTGCATCTTCATAGTTCAATGGTTCTTGGTCATGGACATAACAAGCATATGAAATAGCTTTTGTACAGTTGGTTGATGATTGTTCCTTTTCTCTGATTCTATTCCTGAGAGGGTATCGACATGATTCTTCTGGTTTGGAACTGGTATTTGTGCTATCAACACTTTCTTCACTATATATAGTTACCTGCTCTTGTTGGTTATCCTGAATATTTTCTGATGTATTAGCTTCAGTAAATATTACATCTCTGCTTATGATAATTTTTCTAGCAATAGGATCCCACATTCTATAATTTTTGTTAGTTTCTGTATATCCAACAAAAAATGTACGAATACTCTTTTTGTCTAATTTCTTTCTGTTATCTTTTGGTATATGCACATAAGCGTTACATCCAAAAGTTTTCAAATGTAAGATGGAGGGTTTTCTCTTGTACCATATTTGACAAGGTGTAGAATTTCCCAATACTTTAGTAGTACATCTATTTAAGAGATAGACTGCTGTGTTTACGGCTTCAGCCCACAGTTCAAGCGGCATTTTTCTTCCATGTAACAAGCATCTAGCTGATTCAACTATTGTTCTGTTATCTCTTTCAGAAATTCCATTCTGTTCTGGGGTATATGGAGCAGTGAGTTCATGAACAATTCCTAGAGATT